TTTTTTTTTTTTTAATTTTTCTTTTTTTTTTTTTTTTTTTTTTTTAAACTTTCATTAATAGCAATTGAAAAATCAATATCCGAAGAATATTCTTTATTTGTTGTCATTGATTCCGTTTTATTTTCCTTATTAATATTTTTTTTTTCTTTAATATTTTTTGTTATTGTATTTGAAAAATTCATTATTTCTTTCTTTTGTATATCATTAGTTTTCAAAAATTTATTATTATGTAAATATGAATTATTATCACCAAATTCTTGTCTTTTTATTTTTCCTATATCAAGATTATCTAATATATTTTTATTTTTAAATGGTTCTTCTAAAAAATTATTATCTTTTATGTTACTCATATAATCGTTATAATTATCCACATACAAATAATTCTCATGTTTTATTTTATTTTCATTTTTTATTTTTCGAAGTTCTTCATTTAAAATATACTGTTTATTATATTTAGTATTTTCATTATTATTGGTTTCTTCAATAGAACTAACTAAATTTTCTTCTTGTTCCATATCTTGTAATTTAATATATTGTTCATATTTTTTTATAATTTTTTCGATATTCCAATTATTTCTTAAAGACTGATTTACAGGAATATTCATAGATTTTTCATAACTATCATTATATTTTATAGATACAGGGTTACATGAATACTTTATATGAAAATTCTTTTTTTTTAAATCATCTCTTAATTTTTTATCTTCTTCTAATGCATCTTCTAAGATTTTTAGAATGCATGTAACTCTTTTTTTAGCGAGTTCAATTGCTTCCAATATTTTTAAATAAGATATAGGAGAACCACCTGGTTTTAATATACTAATTAATTGTCCATTTTTATTAAGTGCAACAGATAATTTTGATGACATAAATTCCTCTTCATGTAGTGAAGGATCAATTAGACAAATATCTTCCGAATTAAAATAAGCAAATGTTGTTAAAATTGGTGAATTATGAATTGATAAAGGAGAATAATTAGATTCATCTTGATCAATTATGATTTCAGAATTTTCTACTTTAACCTCATTATTTCTAAAATGAACTAAAGCACTATAAGCTGATAAATAACATGCATCAAATAAGTTTCCATCATTTTCTATCACAATAATGTTAATTAATAAACACCATACTTTTTTATGAGGTATAATGCATAAGGATTCAAAATTTAATATACTACTTGATTTTAAAATTCTTTCAATTAAATTTCTTATTTCTAAACATTCATCATTTATCTTTAAATTATCATTTACACTAGTAAAACTATCTATATCTAAATTTATTTTTATTATTCCTTCATTTGGTTTTTTATCAAATGGTTTCACTATTTCACTTGTAATTCTACATATAACTTTTGTAAATCCAATTGATACTTCTACATTCCCATAATCACCTAAAAAATAAAAAGAAATATTTCTTGAATCCTCAAAATTACGTCCATCTAATCTTAAATTATTTTTTAAATTACACCAAAAAAAATTAGCATTATTTTTACAACTTTTCATTTTATTTATAATAAATGTGGCTTCAAAAATAATATGGAAATTCTAAATTTTTTTTTATTTTTAATAATTCAAAAATCAAATGCCATTTATATTATTTATTTTTCTTATATATATATATGTATTATTTAAACTTGATTACTTAAATATATTTTATATTTTTATCTTTTATATACATCATTATAGATTGTATTATATAAATATTTGTTTAAATGTGAAATTCTTTATTATTTTAAATTAATTTTTTTTTTTTTTTTTTTTATTATTATTATATTTCCTAATTTCAGAGAAATGTTTTATAAGAAAAATTATCTTCATCAAATAATATTTTGTATTTTGAATCTTTTGTTTCTGTAGATTATTTTAAAATGATATATGAATCATCATCATTTTTTTTTTTTTTTTTTTATAAAGATATGCATTTGCATTAATCTTTTATAAAGAGATTCTCTATTTTTGTTAATTTAAAAAATTAAAATTTTACAAATTAAAAAAAAAAAAAAAAAAAC